AACTTATATTATCCTTTACTACAAAAGATTAGACAGTAACAAAAAATATTGGCATGAATCCCAGAAATTGGGTTCAATGAGGACATTATTAAAACCCCATCAGAGACATCAGAATCTTAGATTTGTTTACCAAGCACATTTTAAACTTTTACTGTGTAACTGGGCAGGAAGAAGTATAAGTAAAAACTAGTTTCGGGCAAAGATCCTGAATTCAAGGAACTTAAATTTTAGGAAAAAATGTGAAAAATTAAGCAATACAAAGCAAGAGAGAAAGGGATGAATAAGCACAGCACAGACAATATTTAGGGCAGTGAAACGACCCTGGTAATACTGCAGTGGTAGATACATGTCATGTTACACCTTTGAGAACCCAAAGAATAGACGAGAGAGAGCCCTCAGTAAACTATCCCGGTGAGAATGATGCATCAGTGTGGTTCCCCAATCATAGTAACAAATGTACCGCTGAGGTATAGGACTTCAGCAATGGAGAGGGTTGTACATGTGTGGCGTGGGGGTATAGGGGAACTCTATTTTTGCTGTGAACATAAAATTGCTCTAAAAATAAAGATTATTCATTTAAAGGATAAATACAAAACAGGTGAGAAGACTGTATCACTAAGGAATTTTTCAAAATGTTCTCAAATCTATATTTCAAGTGCTGTGAAGACAGTGCAATGATAATGTAGGGTTTTCTCAAAAAACTCCACTGGGGAGGTTTTAAGTGAGCTTCATCCTTTTCTAAGAAAAAGACAAATGACATTAAAACAACTGATTAGGCAAGAAAAACCTGTTTCTAAACCCATCTCCAGCCACGCCTACCTTTCCTCTCATGGATGAGGTTTCTGCTGCCTGGTTATTAAGGTAACCTCACCTTTATTTTAATTGTCAAGGCGTATGATAACAAAGGGGCCCTTGCAAACATCATTAGCATTTCCTTTTATGCATATTAGGATCATGTTTTCTATTGAGCTTGATTTAGAAATAGAAGAACAACTTTTCCTTTCTGTTTCACTATAACATCATGGGGGAAATATTATTTAATAAAACAGTTACTGTTTTCAACAACTCTCATGCCTGTTACCAATTTTATTCAGTCAGAGGTTACTCAGACAGATATTCACATGTTTTCATGCATTACCTGGTTTTTATTTTGGTTTTGTTGGGGAGCAAATTCAGGGCCTTGCACATGCTAGGCAGAAGCTCTACCACTGAGCCATGCCCCTCCACACCCAAGTTGTACACAAACTTGGCCAAAGGCAAAGGTACAAAACTCCTACAGCAACACAGTGGGTTCCTACACTAGTAACATAATACTCCTAAGAATATCAAGATTACCATAAAATTAGAATAACTGAGGAATGCTGACACTCCTTATTATCTTCTTCTCCTCTTCCTTCTGCTCCTCCTCCTCTTTCTTATCATTATTTCAGTACTTTGGGATGGAACCCAGGGCCTTTGCACTGTACTACATCCTCAGCCTTTTTCCAGTTTTTTTTTATAGCAAAACATTTATTGGTACATTTTAGGCATACATAATAATAACATTCATTCTAGGGAATTTGCACCTGCATATATTACATCCCACCCTTTCAGACAATGTCTTACTAAACTACCTAGACTGTGTTCTAACTTGCACTCCTCCAGCCTCAGTTTCCCAGATTGTGGGGCTTACAGACATGTACCACCATGCCTGGCTATCATATTATTTTTATTGTGTGTTCTGAAACTTGTCTTAGGAAGGTGGACAACTGATGGGGCTTAGAGACACTGTATATGACAGATCTTTCACAGATCCTTCATAGATCCAACAACCAAAGGTCCGCTGGGTCTTAGGCTAACTCATGAGTTTCTAAGACCCAAATGAAACCTATACCTTGAATAGAGTGACTACCTTGTAATTTCACAAATTAAGCAATTGCCAGAAATCAAGAGGAAGCACTTGGGTAATAACCAGAAGTAGTTTCTTTTATTCCACTAAGAAAATACCACAATGAGAATAAAACTTTAGACTTATACCATGAAGTCTAAATTTGACTGGATTCTGTTTCAGAATTATCAATTGAATCCAGAACAGACTTATGGCATCTGTTATAATTCAGAATAGTTTCAACAGATTAGAACTTCTACAGCTAAGCCTGCCAATAAAAGACAAAGCTAAAAACATGGTTCCAAAACTACGAATTAGATATCAGACTCAAGGGAGGACACGTGTGAGACAGCCGGCTCTCCCCTCTGGCTACCTGAGTGCTGTGAACTGGGTCACTCCTTGGCCCTGGGTCTCCAAGCTACACATGGGATTGCAAAGAATGAACTCTCTCAAACACACAGGGTCATTTATATCCAAGAAGAGATCAGTGGCTGAAACCTATAGAATGTGGCATTCATTCATACTAATTTACAAGCTTACTTAGTTGATTGCATATTATTCATTCATTTAAAATGGATTCAGCAAACACTAAACAGAAGGGATACAATGGGTGCCAAAAGGACCACAAAGATGGAGGGGAAGGTTACTATTCCCAGGGAACTAACAACTTAATGGAAAAGGGAGAGCAGAATGTACATAAATATGCCTTGCTGAGTACTAAGTATACTGATTTTAATAGAACATCAAAAATACCACTGTCTAAAAGAGACATGAGTTGTCTGGAGATGGTTTTATTTAAGGCTCTCTCTTTCACTTTACATTTTTTTTTCACTTTTCATTTTATACTGCTGGGCTCAGTAAGTACTACCGACTGCACAAAGCAAGCCATTCCATTCACCGCTTGCTAGTTTAGTCAGTCACAGTTCCTTGCCAGTAATAACTTGTATTTTATTTTTTGACAGGTTTCTACCTTAATTGACTTACTTTAAATCTCACCATTTCCCTCCTTCTATTTGATATAGGGTAAGCCAGGAAATCTAAGTCGGCTTGCTCTCCTTCCATGTGTAACTTGTGTGCCTGCACTTCCACACCTATGGTGAACTCCTCATGTCATACTGTGCTAGACTGCTTCTCAGTGCTGTCTACAGGTATACAATATAGGACAGATGATCTGACACCCAGATTCCATCCAATAAGATAAGCCTTGGCCTATACCTTAGCTGTGTCATTTATGAGCAACCTTCTTAACTATTCTGAGCCTCAGTTTCTTTAGCTATAAAATGAAAATCATTCTATTGCACAATATTGAAATATTAAATAAGGTGACATGTCAAAATACCTAGACTATTCCATTAAATATGGGCAGTGAATATGATTTCACATCTTCCTTCCTTTATTAAAGTAGCTTCATTATTTTTGTAGTTTAACATGAAATGTCAAAAAGATCATGGTGGCCTCCCTTATTAACTTTTACTTTGCTCACAAATCTGCCAAAAGAATCTGGCAGCACAATTTTGAACACATAAAATAATTAGCAGTGCACAGTGTTCCCTAAGATCAGGCTTGTAGATCAACTTTTATATCTTTCAGTTGACTTTTGATGTAAAAAACAATAAGAAAAAAATTCTGATTCTTTATAACTTTGAGTATGAGCTTCAAGTTGAAAACAATCAGAATACAAGTAATTCTGACTCAAGACCCTACCCTAAGGGTCCTGGTAACACAGGGCACTAAGCCATCCTGTTAACTTCCGGTCCTGAAGTTAGCTAGGGGAAACGGGAGGGCCCACGACCTTGAATCTTCTCATTCTCATTGTATAGCATTGATTTTACTGAACTTGGTAGCAGACTGTTTCTAACTCCAGGTACCACTGACTTGTAACCAATTTGTATATTGTAACATGATGCTGTTCTGGATAGAGATTGTTCTTTACATGTCGCTCTCCTGGTCTAGTTTTCCATATCAAGAGATACTTATAACACGTAGAAGACTAGAAAAACACATGACAGGGTATGCATACCAAAGACACAAAATACATTTTGGGCCAGATATAACTATAAAGTTATTTAGCCTTAGAAATAATATAAAATAGGTAATTATGTTATAAAGAATTTAAGTAAAAAATAGCTTCTGCTTTTCCAGAAATCTCTTATCCAAAGATTTAAATTCTATTTTGAGGCTTTTTATTGAAAGTATATTTCAAGAATATAGCAAAATGCTTGGCAAATAGCAGACAATCTATAAATCTTTATCAATAAATAAATATGTTAAAATCTGGCTTGAATTTCGCAAAAAAAAAAAAAAAAACTCAGCAAACAAGAATGATCCTAAGAGAATGAGTTGCTAAGAAAGTAAGTGGTAGAATTAATTATGATGTTCAGGTTAAGAAAGCTATAGTTTCTACCAAACTGTCTGACAAACTATTAATATGATACAGATTAGTAACCCTTTTTCACAGATGAAATAAAAAAGAGAAACAAAGTCATTATTTCTAGATAATTCAACAAAGCTGGTGTGTTCAACAATCATAATATTCAGCCAGGACACGTTTATTTTTGTCTCTTTAATTCCCAGCCTCCTGAACGCTGCTGTCAGGTCCCTGATGAAGAGGTCAGAGAACGTGGTGCTAACTCGCCGTTAACAGGCAAGACCCACAGAGTACATCTCCCCTACTTCTTAGCAATCTTACACTATTTTTTAGACAGGCACTAATATCTCCAACAGTATAAACAAAGAAAAGGCCAAGCAGCTTTAGTACTGCAAAAGATACCAGTGGCAATGTTCTCCAAGTTCAAGTTCTAAGAATAGAATTTTCCCCAATACAATATAGTCCAAGAAAATGAAACGTAGCTGCACAGACAAAACACTGCACATTATACAGAATCACGACTAGGTACGTAATTATTAACACATATTTAAGTCTGTTATCTTTACCTTTGTTGTACCCAAGAATATTTATAAATTAGTTACAAGCTTAAGATCATTCAATTGTCCAGTGTTTCCTTATTTAATACTCCTTTCAGTTTAGGATGTTATATTTGTTCAACAACAAAATCCTGAGAAGAGTCCATAATTTATTTGAAAAAGCACACATCTCTAAAATGTTAAATGTTGCGATCTATTGAACACTCACCTAAACCAGACTTTTTTAATCGTTTTAAGTGTTGACTTGTTTGTTTTCCAGTGGGAGATTTCTGCCCATGTTTCATTTCTTTATCTGAACTGTCTGCTTCACCATTTTTAGATTCGGATCCTAAGGAAAAGGAATAGTTATTATGCCATTATCTTACTCTCATTGCCCTTGAAAGGAAAAACCTAAAATTGTTTTAAGAACCGTAGATACAATCTTTTCTTCTAAGAGTTAATATACTACCTTTGGGCTCAATCTGATTCCTCTACTGGATATAAAGAGAAAAGCCCAATAAATCAATCAAACAGCACAAAAAGCAAGAACAGATGGCCTAATAGCAGAGTCAAAAACACATTCACTGATCTGATAGCTCTTAAAAGAAACAGAGTCAGGTCTTTTGTAAAAATACTCCCATAAGCCTGAACAATGTAATGTTATTTAGAGACAAAACAAGATAGAGACAGAAAGATGAAGGAAGAAGGAAGAGATCAGACCTTCATCAAAACTTTATACTGAACCAGGGAGAGAAAATGCAAACATTACCCTATAAACCATAGAATGGTACATAGCTGATAAAGTGACAGGAGGTAAATTAGAAGAAAAGGTCAGGGCTGCACTGAGGTGCAAAGAATGTTGCTAGAACACAAAAGCTAATAAAGGGTCCCCAATTCTGCACGAGAGGACTGAAAAACAAATTCACACTCATGCAAGAACCGCTTCTGACGGCGTCACACATCAGCATGTGGTCCACCAGTAAAGTCCAACATTCAAACAAAAGGCAAAGCAACAGCAGCAAAACCCATGAAGCGTCACCACACACTTTCTCACACCCCACATTAGCAAATGAAGTCATTTGATGATGAGCAAGTAAGCTAGTGCTTTTTGCTAAAAAACTAGAAAATATATTTTTGAATCACTGAAAGAGTTGAAGATACAAAAAAATAAAAAGAATAAACCAAATATCAAGTGGAAGGATTTTTTAGTTTCAGTAAAAAAAAAAACACCAAAAAAAAAAAACCCAACTCATGATCTCTCTCAGTGAGGAAGTCTCCTCTGGGAAGAAACTGGCAAGGCATACAGTATTTTAGCTCTTTACCTGAAGGCGAATCCGATTGCTCATCAGACACCTTTAATGGTGTCAGAACAACACGAGGGACAGTCTTGTTTACCATCATTGAGACTCCATTTCTTCTTTTCTGCTGCTGCCTCAAAGCCTATAAAACATGATAATAAAATATAAAAATAGCCAACATGATTTCTTATAATTGAATTAAACGATCCACCTGCCCATCCCTGGACAGAACCTCTTAAGAGACTTAAATTCCATAGTGTCCCTAATCTGTCAAGATCCTTAGTAGTCACCTTCATGTCATTTTCCATCAAAAGCATAAAATCGTGCTTTGGCAAAGGGTATAAGCTTGAGACCATTTTTGGGATAATTCTGACAACAAAGCAGCACTTAACAGTTTGTTCTACCTTGGCAGTGTGGCTTGAGAGCCCATGGAATTTGAAACTATGACTCACAAATAAAATAAATGTAAAATAAATGTTTTGAAGCCAGGATAAAAATATATGTGTCTGCACTTCTCCTCCAGGTGTGCCGTCTCCAGTGCCCTGCTCCGTCAATCAGTTAACACTGTGTGTCATCAGTATGTACAGCATGTAAGAACTACAGTATTGATGCATTCACTCAGCCGTGGGGAGCGCTGCACAAAATCACTGAACATGGCAGGAATCATTTATTTCTGTGAAGGGAATCAGTCCTAATCTTGGAAACCTTGCAGCACTTGGCTTCTGTCTGCTTGACTTTGGGCATTAACCTTCAGAACACGAACATGACGGGGTTTGGGCAAATCCAGGAAAAAAGAGATACCAGAATAAATCTCTCCAAATGGGAGTGCTTTGTGTTTCATAAATGAATCCACCATGGTGATGATAATGTAATAAAAGACATTTAAAAGTTTTGAAATACAGCTTTATCTAGCTGATCGCTTTATATAGAAAATTACCTGCAATAAAAAGGATCTTAAGCACACAAAACGGAAGAGCTATTAAATTCACAGTCACAGGAATGCTAAAACTCCTCAAAAGGTTAAAAGGCTGGCCACAGACTGTCTCAAACCTTTTTATTCCTGGTTTCTGTGTAATTCCTACGAATTTTACAACAGCTCAGTTACTTGATTAATGTTCTTTGACTAACAGTTGTCAGAATCTCCTGAAATACTGCATTGACTGTACACTGCCTTGCTGTCAAAAAGGATGTCATTTTATTTGCCCAAAGTATTAGCTGAATGTTCAACTTGTTGACCATAAAATTTAGCAATCAAATAATTGCGGAAGTGAAAAATTAAACATCACTTAAATGAGAAAAGGCTTATTCAAAGGAAATTTCAAGCCCAACAAGAAAGGAAAGGCTCAGGAAATCTATCATAAATGATATGGTTCTTAATGATAATACAAGACATGTTCCGTCTATTTCATACATTTATAAACCTTTATAAAGACCAGGCACTGTGGGCAGACAAGAGATACAATGATTAATAAGATGTCATCGTTCTCATTTTAATAATATATGTAAATATGGCATATGTGCTATAAAATATTTAAGACATTTATTCTTTCTTCGGGGTGTATACATAATTGCACATAAATTGTGCACATACTTGCATAAATCTCTCTAGTCTCCTATAAGAACTCAAAACACTTTAAAGGGATTTACTTAACAATCCCATAATACAACAGAATGAGGCAACATGGTCCTTTAAATTACAATTAAGTCCATCTTTGCCATTATTAAATAAATAGGATTAGGAGAGTTCCTGTGGATGGCTGTAAAGGGTGTGTCCTGTACATGAGTAACTCTAAAAAGGGTTGGTTTGTTTTGGTGAGAGAGCTTAAGTGAGGGAAGTTTTTTCTATTCCATACCAGGCTAGTGATGGCCCTGCTGGCTAGCCTGTAAGATGTTTTTTATATCAATATTATATAAACTTACTATTTTAGTCTACACTCATTTTAGGGGCATGATATCAAGGAGGCACTTCAATTGTCTCACCCTCAGCTACACTTTGCAATACTGATGAATTATCTTATTAAACATCTTTTAATTCTGTCATTTTAAATCTAGAAGTAAGGAATATCAGATCCTAGATAAATAACCAGATGGCTAATGCAAATCAGTCTACTATGAAGGAATGTACCTTCTGCTGGAACTACAGGGTAAAATTTCCATACCTACAATGTTCTAAGAGGAAGTGTAATTTAGTCTTACCAAGTTTGAAAGTTGCAAGTACTATTCAATGAAAAGAAATTTATAGACTGAAACCTGAAAATAAACTTACTTGTAGTGGAAACAAACATGAGCCAGCTAAATCACTCTACGCAAAGTAAAGATCGTATCATACTTCTAGCAATTTAATTATGTTTTTAAGTGAAAGGAAAGAAATCACAAGATGCTAACTGAACATCCTTTTCTCTAGAGATGTAGTACAATATTTTCTTGTAAAGAGAAGAATAACTTCCAGATAAACATTTCATTCATAGGCAGAAATTTTATCACATAATTCTAAAAAATACAGAATGATACTCATGTCTAGGCTAATGGAAAAAATAAAACTGAAAATCAGAGGCTTTTATGTTAACTTGGGATTTTAAATAAGTACTGCTTACTCTATTTTCTTAGAGAAACACCACAAACAATGTAACCTAGAAATACACTGAATAAAATAAGCCCTTTACTGAAAATCTCTCATGCTGTGAATGCTAAAGCTTGAATAAGAAATATACATATAGGAAACAGCAGGCTCTGTCAGGCACCAACAATCTGCATTATTGCTAATATGCTAAATGTCAATGCCCATGTTCAGAACATGCTATCATGCACCATAACCTTTGGAATTTCACAGGGTTGGTCAAACATATAAAGCTAAAGCAAAACACCAAAAATGTATCTGCTTTGCAGTATCAAGTGGGGAAAAGGTCTGCAACTTTATGAATAAATTCTACCACCATAAATAACTAATGAAATAAATACAATAAGCCAACAGAAACAACATAAAAAGTTTGCCACCATGTCACTTTCCACCCAGAAATCATCCTTTTTTAATCTTTAATTTTACCCTGCTGTTTAAAAACTTCCAAAATTTAATCTTTCTTAATTATCCTTCTTTAAAATTCAAAATCTAATCATTTTACACTTTTTTAGAATCTAAAAATCCAAGGGAGAAAAAACGGGGAACAAGGTGATAATCAGCAATCTGCTGCTCTCCAGAGATGTCTGAGCACACTTATTCAGAAAAAAAGCTGAAATGAAAATATATTATTCATGCAATTATGCCCAACATATGATGTTAACTAATGTTTGATGATTGGAAAGTAAAAGGGACCCAAATATTTGAGAGCAAAAAAAAAAAAAAAAAACTCTATGTCAATAACCAAGAGGCCAGAATAATAATAATAATAATAATATAGCTTCCATACTTTCCAGCCTATATGTACTCCTCAATCAACAGTGTTACAAAATCAAAGACTCTACTTTCTGCGGCTGCATGCTTAAGGTGCAAGTGAGGTGTGAGGTACTCAGATTTGGGAAAATATGCACAGCTTAGTTTGAAATGGCAGTTGCTATGTTATTATTTTTCACTATAAATATAATTATGAAGCTACTGGGTTCTTAGGGATTGTTTGCTTTCATCTATTTCTTTTTTAAAATCTATACCAGCCAATGTATAACTGGGTTTCTAAAGTGCTACTGAATCATAAAATATTTTAAATAAAATAATAGTGGCTAATATATTTGAGTGTGAGTCATTAACATATGCTGGTACTAAACATAAATAGCCTGTGTTCATATGAAATTCTCAATGACTATACTTTATTATTTTCCTTATGCTATACAAAAACTCAATTATGTAAATTTCCTTGAATAGTGTCAAAATTTGATTGCCCCTATTATATACCATATGCTGAAAGGCAGTTATTAGTGAAGAGGTTAAAATCTGAAACTATGACTCTGGATTCAAATGTCATCTCCAAACTCTCCTTCCTGGATGATCTTAGGCAAGTTATCTAACTTCTCTGGGCCTCAGTTTCTTTATTTAAAAAAATGAGGATATGAGTGCTTACTTAAAAGATTTGTAGGAGGACTGAATGTATATGCAAAACGAAGGCACAATGTAAATATTAGCTAATGTAATTATTTCTAAGGTATGCAACTGGCCGAGGTTTGTATGCTTATGATTTGTGTTTGTGTCCATATACACAAAACATATGTTCACAGATGTGAAAAACATGCATATAGGGACAAATATATATAATGTGTATTATATATGTA